AGTGGGATTGATCATCACATAATAACGCCCCATGGCTGAAAGGGCGAGCATGTTTGGTGTGACGGGGATTCGAACCCGCGACCCTACATATAGCGAGTCGAGCGCCCTAACCACCTGCCCATGCCGGGTGTAACAATAGAGTGAATAGAGGTTGAAGTTCGGATGCCAGACTCTGATATGTTGGAGGACAAAAAAAAAGTTGGGTTTGTTTTGAATTTTGCACAAAGCTACATGAGGGCTATCTGCACCAGCCATCCCTAATTTAGCAGTGATAGGTTATAGGGAAGGCAGATAGTCAACACCAATCACCATCAACTCTTGGGCTGCTCTTTTACCAATGAATAATGGGATTGACCATCACGTTATAATGCACCCATGGCTGAAAGGAAGAGCATGTTTGGTGTGACAAAGATTCGAACCAGTGACCCTCAGATTGCGAGTTAAGTACCCTATACACCAAACCATGCTAGCTCTGACAACAGAAAGGTGGGAGTAAAAATACAGAGGGGTTGTGAACCCTCTCAATGGCTTGTAATTTTAACATTGCCATCTCGAGGTGTTGAAGGTATGTAGGATTAGATGGGAGATGAAGGAGAGAAGTTGGGACTGAAGGGGGAGAAAAAAAAGACCAGATGATCACTGGCAATTACACTGGTGAGTAAGATGTTGGATGGAAATGAGATGAGAAGTAGAGGATGGAAAGGACACAGCAATAGGACAGGGATAAGGCCAGGATGATGTATAGAACTGTTGGGTTGAGGTTGGGACAATGGGGAAAAACAAAGATCAGGAGAAGAGATTGATAGTAGACAGCTGAAGCCCTTGATATCAGGGATGCCACCATAAAGAAATGGGGGAAAATGAAGGTTCTGGGGAAAGGTGAAAGGGAGACAGACTTGAGATAGGAGGGTAACTCTTCAAAAATGTTCCAACAACAGAAGAACCAGGTAAGATGAGAAATGCAGAGGAAATGGAATGGTCCATGGTAGCAAAAAAGGAGAGATATATAGATTTCCGAGAAAGGAAAACAGAGGAACAGAGAAGAGATAACAATAAGAAGTGAAGGGAGGAAAGGTACTGAGGAATGTTAGAAGAAAGTCATGAAGATGGGAAAAGTGGACATTAGAAAGGGAAATAGAAGATAATGAATATCACTCCCAAAATGGCAATAGTGACTCCAAAGACTGGAAAATCTGACTTATCAAAGGGTCATATACTAGAGTCAGTTATTGTAGGATAGTGAGGTGTAAAACTGTGGGAGCAAAGATGAACCCAAAAGGAAGTGGTAAGAACAGATATAACATGAGCAGGTGGGGTAATGAAATACAAAGAAATCACGAGGATAAGGTTTATGTAAATTCAACAGGAAAAGTCAAAGGACAATGGATTAAGAGAAAAATTGTACACACCAGAGAAATAAGGTGATAAAAGTTGCAGGCAATGTGAGGGTATTAGTCATTAGGTAGAGTAGTTCTCAATGCAAACATGGAGGCGGAAAATGGTGCTCTAATTAATCCTCTTCAGTTTAAGGCTCAAAATAATGGGAAAGAAAGAGTGGAAAAGACAGAAACAGAAAATCCTGGCAGCATAATGAATCCCATTGCACGATGGAAGATGGCTGTTACATCATCCACAGCTAAGGTACTTCCCACAGAATGGCAGTAGTTTGTTCTGTGTGAGGAGGTTCTTAATTCACATTAAAATGTGACTTCATATTAAGTATAATAAACTCAATCAAGTGAGATCAGCTGGGAGTTTTCACAAGGCTGATGGCTTTCAAATCTCTTTGGCAGAATGTACAAACTCAAGAGGAAAGAAGCTATTCTGTGTGCAAAAGTGAGTATTTGTTTAAGAATTTTAAAATTTTGCAACAATACTAAGTGGACAATGAGGGTTTGCACCTGAGTATTATTACTTATCCATGTGCATGTGCATCTTTTTAATGAAGCAAGCTCATGAAAAATCACATAGAAAAGAAGTGCTTCCTTATATTACAAATAGAAATCACAGACAGACAGACATACACGCAAGTGGGTGCATGCACATGTCTGTTTATGTGTGCCTGCCATAGCTTCAAGAGGAAAGAACCTAGAAACCTGAAATTTTGCATCCATACTAAATGAAAAACCACATAGAAAAAAGTGGTTCCTTATAACACAAATTATAGATATAAATCACAGACAGACAGGCAGACAACAAATATTTTTTCAAATTTGTAGTTTATACATTTCATTTTATACTTTCAGCACATAGACTTTTAACAACAATATTAGGTTATACTTTTATTGCTAAGCAACATTATATAAAAGCCATTGTTGGAACACATTGTTACCTATATTGTTCAATATGTTAGAAGCTGTTATATAAGGAATCACTTCTTTTCTATGTGGTTTTTTTGCTAGATTGCCTCTGTGATATATATTTTTAATATGAGGAACCACTTATGTAATTATAATATAATAATATTATTATAGAGCGTGTCTGTATGTGATTTCTTTGGGAAAACAACCAATATTGTCTAATCTGAAGAACTGCAACAGTAAAAAATTTTAATAGATTCTGATGAAATGTGATAGAAATTTTTGATATCAAATACAAATGTGAAATATTTAACACAATGATAAAGTTCTTTGTTAATAAATAATTATTAATATACTGTACTTTTTTATGGCTTTTTTATGTTTATGAAAAATAAAACTTTTAATATATTTTTGACTGATCTTCTATGCTATAGTAGGTTCAGAATATACACACTCACATATTCAACTAGAAATGTCAACCTAATAACCCGGGTGAAGCCGGGTACTTTTGCTAGTGTATATACATAAAAGAGAGTTCAAAATACATACTGCTAAATCAAACAAATTCTACAGTTTTCTAATTTATGAGGAAAATATTTTACTAAAAACATTAAACTTATTATACATATAATAAAAATATTTGTTTTCTCCTAGTTTTTACGAGTACACTTGGGAAACACAGAATCCTGTATTTTTGCCAAGGACTCTCATCCTTGATAAATGCCATTTGGATAAGGAATTAGGGCTGAGGGATAATCTAACTGCATCAAGTTAAATTAGATTCTTTATTCTGGGTTATGAAACACTGTTACAAATTGATTTCAGAGAAAACCTACATTTGACAAAAAAGTAACTATAAACACCTAAAATAAAACATTTATCTGAGTTACACTAAGTAGGAAAATAAAAAAAGCTACACAAAATTACTTACAATGATAATTATAATAATAATTATTGTCAACTTTATGTTCTTCATCAGCATTGAACGAGCAAGACCTCTACTGGATTTGCGAAATGAGACAGACTGAAAAAGAATAAAAATAACACATTAATAAAAAACTATTAATTTTAACTTAAACTAAATCACAAAACACATGTTAAACTGATGAAAAAAACTTAATACCACTGTTATCATCATGAAATATCATCAACTTGAAAAGAGTAGGAATTAAATAATATATTTATTAGTATATTATACAAACAACACACACATGATCTACATTTATGTTAGTTTTTACATTATTTAAATTAGCCTATCAAATAAAATTATAATTAAATAAACTTAAGTCTAAAATTAAACATTATTTTTATGGTTTAATATAAAGGTAAAGGGGAAATTTTGTGCTTCTTGTAGAAAACATTTTTGAGTTGTGGTATTCTGTATTTAAATGCAGTTAAGGCAGTGTTGTGTATTTAAAGTAATTAAGACAGTTAAGTAACTGCCTATACTACTCACATATGAGGTTAGGTATGCAGAGCTCTGAATGAATCTGATGGCTGTGCAGGGCATTGCAATGACTGTGAAGTTAAACCTAAGTGGATTAAATGTATTTCACATGTGATACCCACCAAATACCCCTAGTACAAAAAACACTTTGAGCCAAATTGTCTGATTAAATATGACAAATTGATCATCCTTTAAAACTTAACAAGGTAATTCTAAGTTTCTATAAACAAACGAAGAAATTCACATACAAAATCATAACACAACACTGCTGTCTGAGATGGGGTTCAGATGGATGACAGGTCTATTTCCCTAAATTTCTCTCTCTTTGCAATGAATAGTACTATCTACATCCACCCCCCTTATGCATATGATGTCATTCATACTTCCATATTCCCAATTTCATTTTTGCATAGAATTAATAATGCTTAAAAAGCTTTTCATGTAAATATGGTGATGTTTTCCGTACTTCCCTACTCCAATTTCCTTATTATTTAAAAAGCTTCCCAAGCATGCATACATGTTACTCTTTTGATTACAAAGATACCAGTAAAATTACAAAGTTATTTGAATTTATACAAAAAACAAAACTTTAATTAATAGTTTTTTTTCATGTATTTGTCCAGAGCAACAATAATGTTAATTACACATTTAAAGATACACATTTCTGTTAAGAACTAAAAAAATAGTTTGGTTAATGCTCCAACTAGTTGTATATGTTACATGAAAATTAAAAGATCTCTTCTAAAACTGAAACACAACTCTTGCATTTCACAAGCACCAAACTGTTTTTCTCCATAAATTCTGTAAAGCTACATAAAAAACAAAACTTTTAACTGATCAAAATATTTTAAAGAATAAAAAAAATGAAAAAAGTATATGATCATACATATTAAACACAAAAATATGTATTAAATAACAAGACTGTTTTTGTCATTTCAAACTTCTATTAAATCGTGCATTTGCATAAATGCAAGTTATTTATAGTATTTTTATAGTTAAATGAAAAACAGCAAATAAGATAATTAAATGTCCCTATATATATATTACGAATTTAAAGGCTATTTCACTTTAAAATAATCTCTTTCTTACTTATTTTTCAGTTGAAACTTCTATGTTTTACAGTGGAGATGAGGAAGCTGCAATTGAGGTGAAAACATAAAATTAAGAATGTGACAAAGACTAGGAAAGGCTCTTTCCTAGATAAAAGACTTTTGTTTGTCATGGACTAAGAGATTAAGCAGTGGCTAGGATAACCTCAGCTGCTGCCCCAACTCCACTTCTACTAGTCACCTCCCTTAAGCAGGAGATATGACAGCAAAGATGGAACATGGTCACAACAATCAATCCAGATGTCCTGAGACCAACTGAAGTTGTCACTATGGATCTCTTAGACACTTACAGTCTGGGATAGACACTATAAGATGTTATGACACAGATGTCATGGTTTCCTTTGGAATGACTGGTCTCTCCAGGTTCAGTTGTCATGACTATAATAATTATTCCATAAAAGTGGTACCTAGAGACACCTAGAGCATGATGGAAAGAACCCCTGTTTTAGCTGTGGATGAAGGATTGTTTGTAAGCAGAGTGGATGCATATTCTATTGTAGCCAAGAACACAGCATATGCAGGAAGGTCAACAGTGAGTTATAAATGCAGCTACTCCAACTAGTTTGTTTCTAAATTGGATCACATAGTCACAAGCTTGCAATGAGATGTATGGTGACTAGATCAAACAACCACGTACTTGATGTCAAATGGTATGTGCCTTTAATGATACATAGAGATGATGCTAAGTTCCTAGTGGACAGTGGACCAGTTAGGGCCTTTCTTAACCTTGTTGTGTACCAAGCAGTCTGAGAGAAAGACCACTACTTTGTCCAGTGAACACAATTTCATCTGGGCAAAGAGTAACAAATTAAATGAGAGTTTAGAGGTGCTTTGTTGACTTTGGCTGGAACTGCCTCCAACTGAATCAAAATAGTTGTCTCCACTTTTAATTGAAGCATTACGGATGAATCTGATGCAGACATACTCAACCAGTTTCTCTTGTGTAACAAGTAAACTGTAAATCTGCACAAAACCACTCAAAGTCAGTCAGATTGGACATGTAAACAATTAACTGCAAATGACTAAATTGAGTAAGAGGTTATAGTGCTCTGAATATGCAAGTGGTGTGATATGGATGCAGTCTAGTGTATTGGTGCCATCCGCTTCAGTAAAAACCTGACACAATAAACACAGTTTTCTATCCAGAAATCAGGCTGCACTTACTCAAACAATTATCTAATAATGGAATTACACAAGTGTTGGTCTGTAATTATGGACTTTCAGCTTTCCAGCTTCCAGTTGAAATGGTCATTAGCATAATGATGGAAGCAAAAATGATGTTGACTAACCATGTTAAAGCACATGTATGGCTTTCCAAACATCTGAGGTAATTGAACGATCTGAAGGATTGTACTACCCATTTGTACTCAGTAAAGTGACAGTAACTAAGTAAATTACTCATACAGTTTGCTAATATGTTTGTAGGACCATATGGCTGTTTATTAGGAAGGACAACAGTAACACACCACATAGACACAGGCGATGCATATGTAATAAAATGGAGAGTACCTTGGAATATCAAGAATGTTGTCAATACTGAAGTCAAGTACATGATAAAGGTGGAATAACACAGAATAGTTATTGTGTGGATGTTAAAGAGAACTTCAAGATTCACGGAAATGTCTAGACAAGTTGGAAAGAATCTGTTGTTTTAAGATGCTAGATCTGGCTTTTGGTTACTGTCAGTCAAAGTAGACAAGGAAAGTAGGCCTAAAAACACTTTCAGCATTTGGTAAAAGCAGTATGAATTCCTTGCCATGCTATTCAATCTGTGTAATACATATGTCACTTTCATGAAGCTAATGGAATTTATACTTCAAGATGCCAGAAATAAAGAGATATCTGATCTATGTGAATTACATTTTAATGTCTGACTACACTTTTCAGGCCACTGCTGAAAATCTTGGATTAGTATTTCAGCATGTCAAAGATGTAGGATTGAAATCCAAGTCAAACAATTGTGCATTAATATGCATGGATGTGGAGTTTCTGGGTCACACAGTAGGAAGGTATAGACTGACCAATGATCCTGCAAAGGAAACCCAATTATTAGCATCATAAACCCTAAGACTTACTGCTTCGCCACTGGGGGGTGGTTTTCAAGCAGTACTGTCACAGATAAAGGACAGCTAAATCATGCAACTGTTTATACTGTAACAACTCCTGAAAAGTGATACATTATGATACAGAAAGAACTGCTTGCTGTTGTAGTATTTGATTAACATTCAATAAATGCATAGACCATGTGTTATTGAAGTAACTAACCATATCTGAAAGTGTGGAAGGTATGACTGAAAATTAGATAATGACACTGCAGCAGTACAACTTGTTGTACAATAGTGTTTGGATTGGCAGCATGAAAATGCTGGTGGATTATCTTGCCAATCAGAGAGCATGTGTCCATTTGTTGAACGTCTGGATCCTGGACACTATACAGTGGTCAAAGCCATTACTACAGCAGCAGTGATAAGGAAACACACCAGCATAAACATTTCTACTTTTGAATAGACACCACAAATAACCAATCAAAAACTTCTGGGAGATCAAGTGAAAGTCCAGAGAGTCAGCTTGTGTGCTGTTTGCCATGTAGCAAGGTAGTGATCTACATGACATATGGCAAATGTGTAGTCAGTCAGGAGTGCAGAGTGGTGTGTTGTATTGATGTTATGAACCAAGGACTAGTGGACACCAGGAGATGTCATGCACCCTTGTATACATGCACGTTTTTTTTTTCTGGTCACATTTGCTTAACCTTATCTTGACGGGTCTTCCTATGGTCATGGATCAAAGGGCATGTCATCAATTTTGTACACTTATATTCAAAATTTTATTGAACTACTATTTGATGAATGTATGTCAATAAGTTTGGTATCAAATTGTAGATTATAATTCAAATTTTAGTATTATACATTAATTAATTTATTAATTCAAAAGTAAATATAAAAAAAAATTCCTAAATATCAATTGTTGTGTGTAACATGGTATTTTGAATGTAGATTCGGTTCAAATTAGATGTTTTGTGATGTCCAAATACAAAGTCTATAGTTTCTTACGAATTAGAAACTCAAATTACTGATATTGACTAGCTAGAATATAAAAATAAGAACATTCTATCTTTTCTATTTTCTGAGATATTATATTTAGTGAATCAACCTAGGTGGCCCCACCCACCTTTTCCATTTTTGGAAATACTTGCTAACGTACATCTGCTTTGCTCTCTGATGTGTGTATAACCAATCGAAAGCTCAGGATGTCCACATCATGTTTTTTCAACCTCTGCAAAGTGTTTTTGCGAGAAAACCTTCTATTTCATGGTAGAATTGGAGCAGAAAGGTAAGAGATTTAAAGAAACTCGAAATATCATATTTTATTAGTACAAATTACAGAATAGTTAATAAGCCTAATAAATTATAGTGGATTTCTGTGGTATTGATATAGTAACTTATGATTTTTGTTATTTAAAAATGCATATATAAAACCTAAAATAATTATTTTTGTTTTAGATCCTCCACATGCAAAATTTGACAAGGCTTAGCAAATTACAGCAAGCTGCATACAAGTACAAAGCTCAAGTAAGAGAGATCATTGTTTTCTATACTTCATTTTTTATTGTTCCATGTTTTAAGAAAAATAACTACAATTAAAGAACTTATTTGTAAATAGTAGTAATATGTATACATATGTAATGTATTATAACCAAAATGTGACATATTTTACAAAATACTGGTCCACTAGAACAAAGCCAAGACAGGTCACTTTGTAAAGGCCAGTTTTATATTACTGGATACAGTAACATGGATGCACGTGTGCAGTATCATTGCAATTTCTGTAATGTTAGTCAGACACAGCTGAAAGGTCAATAAAATAAAAGTGATAAATATATATAGACTTATAATGTTATGAGATTCAAGCTATTTAGAATAACATTTGTGGTTTCATGTTATAATTTATAATTATCTGGAGGTTATTAGAAGGTTATAAAGATTTTACATGTGAAATTTGACAATTTTCTGATGCATAAAAGTATTTTTAATCTTAAAATCAAAATTACTTTGCATGTTGGATAGTCAACATTCGAAAATAAAAAATGCATGAGCAAATCTATACTTATATAATCTTAAAACTTCATAAAAAATCTGATATTCTGTGTACGAAAGCCTTGTAATGTTTTCTGATAATCTGCAAAATTTTGTGAAGATAGGGATACTGTATTGAAAGTTACAGTATGAAAACTATAACAAGCATAAAATGGTTATGAGATCAGTCCATGAGACTGAGCTCGTAGTGAGAGAGTTACAGATGCTGAAAAATAGTTTTAAAACTGCAACACATGCTACCCAAAAGAAAAACTAGTCATGTAATGGAATACTCTGGTAGAAAGTTAAAAGTTATTCTTAGTGGATAATGGACATGAATATAGCTGTAACTCTACCCACAAATTAGGAAGTTAACCAGTGTGTGCTGGTCATTATCAGTTACTTCACTTTGGAACTGAAGCTCATTCATTAGTTGATATTTTAATATAGTACACTGCTGAAGTGTTAGCTGAACAATGGATAACACAGTCTGAAATACCTGGAAAGATACATAAAGATCAAGGACTGAATTCAGCAGCCAGGTATCAGGTTTGATGAAAATTCACACTTCATCGTGTAATCCTTACCCTGATGGTTTAGCTGAATAGAAGACACAGACTGTCAAGCACATATTTCATATATTTGTGAACTCTGAATGAACCAACAATGTGTTTGTTGAAATTTGTACACAGCTAATCAAAGACTATCTGTACTAGCAATATCTAATTTTGAAATGATAGAGAGAGGGCAGCTAGTCAACACCACCCACCACCAATTCTTGGGCTAGTCTTATACCAACAAATAGTGGGATTGACCATCACATTATAATGCCCCTAAGACTAAAAGGGCGAGTATGTTTGGTGATGGGGATTCAAACCCATGACACACAGATTGCGAGTCAAGCACCCTAGCCACCTACCTATGCCAGGCCAAAGGAACTTGGTACAACTAACAGTATACCACAGCACCACCCCCACATCTATCTTCTACTTAAAATTCACAAACAAGGTTATCTTCTCCATTCCATTGTAAGGCCTCCAACTGAACTATAAAAATCCCAACAGTGTGTGAAAATACTTGCATTAGAAAGAAATTATTAGCAAAGTTAACATTAACAGCACAACCATCAACAAGAAAATTTAAGTTACGGTGGTAAAGCAGAGTTTAAGTAAGATCCTCTGGCACTTAAGCAATAAAGCACATGGAAGGTGGGAAAGTGGAGAATTATGGATAAGTGATACATATTCTGCAATGCTTAAAGGACATTCAGAAATGTAGAGTTACATGTTCTGTTGAGAGCATGAATTCAAATTCAATAAGGCTTACAGTATATCACAGTTAAGTCTACTTGATTTGAAAGTGAATACCACACTTTCTACATTAAAATACTCCAAAACAGTAGTGCATATATGATAAAATTCATAAATAAAATGAACAGCATCAAATTTCCATATACTATTCAGTACCAGAAGTGGTTAGAAATAACTAGTTTTATGCATGCATGCATAGTTAATTGAAAGAAAACCTACCGTGGCATTCAGATTTTCTGTTTTATCCACCAAGAGCTCTAATCTTTCTCCTCTACTTGCAACTGTGTCTACAATGAAAAGAAATATAAAGCATGAACATGTACAGTAAATTATACCAACATAGTCTTAGAACCTTAGTATATTTTTACTCAAGTCATAAAAGTACACGAGTCCAGAAGGTTTTTTCTCTCTTAATTTGAATGACTTGTATTTGCTTGCACAATAAATTGTTTCCATAGATACAAGTTGTGGTGGCAAGTGTGACAGGTTTATTTGGGTCAGGCTGAATTCCTGCCCATTCTATAATTTCATGTTGCCTTGGGAAAACCTATGGCCAGATAGATATCAAAACCTTTTGGAAGAGAAATGTTCCTACAGAAGCACTGTTAACGATTTAAAGGCAAAGTAATCAAAATCTTGAAGAAGAGTTCTCATTGTTCTTCATGAATTCATTTAAAAGAATTTTATGATTTACTTTTGGATAACTTTTACACTGTTGGTTGAACACTTGTCTGTATTTACCGATGCTTTTTTGTCTTTATAGTTTGATTTCAACATTTAGCTGTAAGTTAGCATTTTCTTAAATCAAAAATGTATTTTCAATAATACTTATGTCCGCTCACACTACAGCTATTACTCAACTTCTCAGGTTTTTTTCCCTTTGCCCATCTAAGCATTGGTCTACTTTTTTCTTGCTTGCTCCAGTCTTTTATTCCCTACTTAATTGCCCTTGGCGATATCTGTCGTGTAACACTCTCCACCTACATCTATGCAACCTCTATCCTGGCACATGTATCAACAGTGGTGTGTTACAAGGAGGGTGAGCAAGTGTAAGCACCTCGTTCAGATAATATTGTCACTTTTTCGAGACCAACTCAAGCCATAGTTTCTAATATATATAATAATTTCTCCCTTCTGCTTTTGTATTATATATTCTGATAATTAACTCTCTTTACACGAACATGGTTGAATTGACCAACCATATGACCACTTTGTACTCCTTTAACCCTTTCGAGATGGGTCACAGGTGAAAGGCCATGTCATTTCGTTTGACTTGAACTCAAAATTTTATTGAACTACTATTTCATGAATTTATATCAATAAGTTTGATATTAAACTGTAGATTATAATTCAAATTTTAGTACTATATATTACTAAATTTCTTAATTTAAAAGCAAATATTAAAAACACAGATAAACATTGATTTTTGTGTGTCACATGGTATGTTCAATGCAGCAC